TCAAGAACTTTTTGGTCATTTGCTATCGCTCACGATATCAAAAGGCCCCATTGTAAAGTTGGGATTACTTATAGTGTCTAGGGGCTATTCGTCTAGTTTTATTAATGCGGACTTTGCTTAAAAGATTTTTCGACATCTGGTGTAGTTTTTGTGTAGTTTTGCAACTCTTGATCCACACTTTCCTGTATGGCAGTTATCATGCCATTACAATATTTATTATAATCACCCTGAAAGTGCAAAAGCACTATTATAATCACTCACTCTAAAATACAGTCATGTTGGTAAAAGGTCATGTGCTAACCTGTGCTGACATTCTTGATTTTTGGCCGAAGTTTTGCCCTCAGATTTTTGTCATAACGTTTGACAAAGCTCCTGAAAGAACAAAAGTTGCCACAATAAAAATCACATTAGCTGCACATGGGCCTTTTACCTAACATATTATTGGTAACTCTAACCAATATTTCAATTAGAAAGTACGTTCAGTTTACACATCATTATAATCACAATTAAAAATGCAGTCAAGCAGTATGTGCTGTATTATCAACACCCTGAAAAATGCAAAGGTAATATAAAAAATGAATAACATGCAACATTTACATTTTCCCCATTTTTCAAAGATTTTCTCCCACTAATCAGATGGGCCATTAAAAAAAAAAAAAAAAACTCCTCCATGCAACCACTTTGAATTTACAGAGGTTTCCTTGTACAAATACAGTGGACCCCCGCTTAACGATCACCTCCAAATGCGACCAATTATGTAAGTGTATTTATGTAAGTGCGTTTGTACGTGTATGTTTGGGGGTCTGAAATGGACTAATCTACTTCACAATATTCCTTATGGGAAAAAATTCGGTCAGTACTGGCACCTGAACATACTACTGGAATGAAAAAAGTTCGTTAACCGGGGGTCCACTGTATTCCTCGTGCATTTGCACATTATTTTTATCAATACCATTAATGTTAATTTACACCTATTACAGATCACCTACCTAACCAAAATATACTGCCTTTATTTTATTTATTATCACACTGGCCGATTCCCACCAAGGCAGGGTGGCCCGAAAAAGAAAAACTTTCACCATCATTCACTCCATCACTGTCTTGCCAGAAGGGTGCTTTACACTACAGTTTTTAAACTGCAACATTAACACCCCTCCTTCAGAGTGCAGGCACTGTACTTCCCATCTCCAGGACTCAAGTCCGGCCTGCCGGTTTCCCTAAACCCCTTCATAAATGTTACTTTGCTCACACTCTAACAGCACATCAAGTATTAAAAACCATTTGTCTCCATTCACTCCTATCAAACACGCTCACGCATGCCTGCTGGAAGTCCAAGCCCCTCGCACACAAAACCTCCTTTACCCCCTCCCTCCAACCTTTCCTAGGCTGACCCCTACCCCGCCTTCCTTCCACTACAGACTGATTTTTTTTTTTTTTTTTCAACAAGTCGGCCGTCTCCCACCGAGGCAGGGTGACCCAAAAAAGAAAGAAAATCCCCAAAAAGAAAATACTTTCATCATCATTCAACACTTTCACCACACTCGCACATTATCACTGTTTTTGCAGAGGTGCTCAGAAATACAACAGTCTAGAAGCATACACATATAAAGATACACAACATATCCCTCCAAACTGCCAATATCCCAAAACCCCTCCTTTAAAGTGCAGGCATTGTACTTCCCATTTCCAGGACTCAAGTCCGACTATATGAAAATAACCGGTTTCCCTGAATCCCTTCACTAAATATTACCCTGCTCACACTCCAACAGATCGTCAGGTCCCAAGTACCATTCGTCTCCATTCACTCCTATCTAACATCGCTCACGCACGCTTGCTGGAAGTCCAAGCCCCTTGCCCACAAAACCTCCTTTACCCCCTCTCTCCAACCCTTTCGAGGACAACCCCTACCCCGCCTTCCTTCCCCTATAGATTTATATGCTTTCCATGTCATTCTACTTTGATCCATTCTCTCTAAATGACCAAACCACCTCAACAACCCCTCTTCTGCCCTCTGACTAATACTTTTATTAACTCCACACCTTCTCCTAATTTCCACACTCCGAATTTTCTGCATAATATTTACACCACACATTGCCCTTAAACAGGACATCTCCACTGCCTCCAACCGTCTCCTCGCTGCTGCATTTACCACCCAAGCTTCACACCCATATAAGAGTGTTGGTACTACTATACTTTCATACATTCCCTTCTTTGCCTCCATAGATAACGTTTTTTGACTCCACATATACCTCAACGCACCACTCACCTTTTTTCCCTCATCAATTCTATGATTAACCTCATCCTTCATAAATCCATCCGCTGACACGTCAACCCCCAAGTATCTGAAAACATTCACTTCTTCCATACTCCTCCTCCCCAATTTGATATCCAATTTTTCTTTATCTAAATCATTTGATACCCTCATCACCTTACTCTTTTCTATGTTCACTTTCAACTTTCTACCTTTACACACATTCCCAAAACTCATCCACTAACCTTTGCAATTTTCTTTAGAATCTCCCATAAGCACAGTATCATCAGCAAAAAGTAACTGTGTCAATTCCCATTTTGAATTTGATTCCCCATAATTTAATCCCACCCCTCTCCCAAAACCCCCTAGCATTTACTTCCTTTACAACCCCATCTATAAATATATTAAACAACCATGGTGACATTACACATCCCTGTCTAAGACCTACTTTTACCGGGAAGTAGTCTCCCTCTCTTCTACACACCCTAACCTGAGCCTCACTATCCTCATAAAAACTCTTTACAGCATTTAATAACTTACCACCTATTCCATATACTTGCAACATCTGCCACATTGCTCCTCTATCCACTCTATCATATGCCTTTTCTAAATCCATAAATGCAATAAAAACTTCCCTATCTTTATCTAAATACTGTTCACATATATGCTTCAATGTAAACACCTGATCTACACATCCCCTACCCACTCTGAAAAACTCCTTGCTCATCCGCAATCCTACATTCTGTCTTACCTCTAATTCTTTCAATTATAACCCTACCGTACACTTTTCCTGGTATACTCAGTAAGCTTATTCCCTATAATTTTTACAGTCTCTTTTGTCCCCTTTCCCTTTATATAAAGGGACTATACAGACTGATACATTCTTGAAATCACTCTGTTTCGCTCCATTCTCTCTACATGTCCGAACCACCTCAACAACCCTTCCTCAGCCCTCTGGACAACAGTTTTGGTAATCCCGCACCTCCTCCTAACTTCCAAACTACGAATTCTCTGCATTATATTCACACCACACATTGCCCTCAGACATGACATCTCCACTGCCTCCAGCCTTCTCCTCGCTGCAACATTCATCACCCATGCTTCACACCCATATATATATAAACATATACAGTAGGACCCCTGTATCCGTGGGTCCAGTATCCACGGTTTTGGTTATCTGCTGTTTAGTGTGGCCCAAAAATAATCCTTAATTTTACTTAATAATGGCCTCAAAGTGCAAAAGTAGCGATGGTGGAAATTCTTCAAAGCCTAAGAGAAGCCGTGAAGTGCTTCCCATCAGTGAAAAAATGATAATTCTCTGTTTATTGTGCATAATTTATCAATTAGACTTTATAATAAGTACGTGTAGAACTTATACACGTACTATATAAGGTTTGGTACTATCCACAGCAGGTCCTTGGGCATTGACCCCCGGAACACCCTCCAGGTAGATATGGAGTCACAAACTCAGAAAATTAATCAATTTGCATATCTCGACCCCCCTGCTGGGGTCCTCTTTATATGTATACATACAGTACCAAAGAGGACCCCAACGAGAAGTCGAATTATACAGATCAAGAAATTTTCTGAGTTTCTATCTTCATGTGAAATATTATTAAGCAAACACATACATAGTATTAACCCTTTGACTGTCACAGGCCCCTTTCTGAAACTGTCATTCTATGTCGATAAATTTTTTGAAAAAAAAAAAAAAAAAAAAAAAAATTATGAAACGATAGAGAATCTTTTCCCGATGGTAATGACACCAAAAGTATGAAATTTGGTCGAAAACTCGCGGAATTACGCTCCCACAAATTTAGCAGTCTAGGTGACATACGCATCAGCAATTTCGCCAACTTTGAGCCCTGTTTTTGGCCAATTCCATTGTTCCAGTTGACCAAACTCATAGCTATTTCTTTAGAACTCCATTTTTTCTATCTGTTGAGTACAAGAAACCGCCCATTTACCGATCTGAACTACCCAATAAAGTGGTCAGACATTGGCAATTTGGCCAATTTCACGCAAATTAAAAAAGATGCCAATTTCAAAATAGGGTCCAGAATAAACAATGTAGACATTCTTGGCACTAAAATAACATATCCTCTGTTCATTAGTCACGTCTCTAGGCCCCTCTTATATTACTATTGCTTTCTATTTTGATTTTTTATTCATACAAAAAAATACAAAATTTACTGTTATGCAGACTACTGGTATAAATAATATCATTGCACTAGTGAAAGAATATTAGACTCCCCAGTTGAAGTGTATTGGACGTGTGGTGTGATTTGCTTAGTCCTGAATATTGGTAAAAATCGAAAATTTCTGCTACTTTGAGCTCAATTTCAAGGTCGTTTTCTTCGTGAAAGTAATCAAAATCATCTCTATTTCTGTAATATGTTTTCCATTTTATCACCTGAGACCATGAAAACGAGAATACAACGATAAATACTATACGAAAATACACCTCAAATTCGGCATTTTAATCCAAAAAAAACAGTCAGTTTTTTTTTCTCATTACGCACTGCGTGCTGCAGGATTTTTTTTATGTGGTGCACACTGACCACACAGACCCATTCTCTCACATGTAGGCCTACCAGCTTTCTCCTGCTTGATTTGAAGCCGCTAGAATTTATGCGTATAAATACGTCAGAAACAGTGGTGTGTAAGACGTATATATACGACTGAAACAGTCAAAGGGTTAAACAATAATTTACATATATTATACATATTACCAGTATACATAACCCACCATGAATGGGTGCACTGTTGTGTCTGGAAGAACAGTAGTAGTATTATCTGTCTGAAGCTGTAGGGAGAACTTGCTGACTGTATCGATGATTTTGTGATAGAAGTCTGCAAGTTGAGGACAATCATCGAAGACAAAGTAACGATCCTGTCTATTAGTGAAGTAGTCATTGCTCAGATTGGCCCTGAAATTATATAACATGTTCTAATCATACTGAAAAACTCATTTGTAATAGTAGTATAGTATATTATATTTTGTGGGTCACAAGACGACCCATAAAAGGACACAGTCGGTATTTATTTAATAACTGTCTTGCTAGACACTGCAGACATCACATTGGTAATGACCCTCTAAACAGCAATATCCCCACCCCCCTTCAGAATGAAGGCACCATTTCTCATCTCTAAGGGAAAATTCCAGCTGCCTGGTTTCTCTGAATTCCTTTATAAATGATACTGTGCTTATGCTCCAACAGTATGTCATTTGTTTCCACTCCAATCTAACACACTTACACGTGCCTGCTGGATGCTCAAGCCTCTACCACTTAAAAATCTTTACACACTACTTCCAACCTTTCTTGCAAGGACCCCCTACCCATCCTTCCTTCCGAATTGTATTTATACACCCTTTTGGTTATCCTACTTTACACCATACTCTCTTAATGCCCCAACCTACCTCCACCTACTGAATAATATCCTTAATAATGCCAGACCCTCTTCTAATTTTTACGCTCTGCAAAGTTTGCATAATATTCTCACTACACACTGTTCTTAAACATCTCCACTGCCTCCAGCATCCTCCTCAATGTAATATTTAAAGCCCATGCTGTACACTCATATAAAAAAGATAGTACTACTATAGTCTGGTACATTCTCTTTTTTATTTACGTAGAAAAATTTCTTTCTTATAGTTGACGAGCTTAGACTGAGATGACATGAAGTCAGGACTATGGGTAGGAGGAAGGTGGAAAGAGAAGAGAGATCTACATTTACAGACTCATAACCTGCAGGATTCACTCTAGGCAGGATGCTTGGCTAGTGGTAGAAGAGAGTGAGTAAAGAGATGCAGCATGAATGAATTTTGGATTTTTCCTCATTTATTTTACAACAAATTCATTTTTTTTTTTTTGGATGTGATCATTTGGCCTAGTTAGACAGCAGCTGCCCAGGGAGGAACTACCATCCTGCTAAGTGAGTGTAAAAAGGAAGCCTGTAATTGTTTTACATGATGGTAGGATCTCTGGTGTCTTTTCTCTGCCTCATAAACGTGCAAGATTTCAGGTATGCCTTGCTACTTCTACTGACACTTAGGTCATACTACACATGCAAGTACAAGCATATATATACACACCCCTCTGGGTTTTCTCCTATTTTCTTACTAGTTCTTGTTTATTTCCTCTTATCTCCATGGGGATGTGGAATAGAATTCTTCCTCCATAAGCCATGCATGTCATAAGAAGCAACTAAAGTGCCAGGAGCAAGGGGCTAGTAACCCCTTCTCCTGTATAAATTACTAAATTTAAAAAGAGAAACTTTTGTTTTTCTTTTTGGGCCATCCTGCCTCGGTGGGATACTGCCGGTTTGTTGAAAGAAGAATGATCATTTTGTGAATGTGTGGTAAGCTCAGATTTTTCTGGTAAATAGTAAAGAAATGTGGAATGAGCAGTCTCAGAATGTGTCCCTGTGCTGTATACACTGTTAGGTTCAATTTAGATAAAATTTCACTGTAAGTGCCATGGGTTGGGATTGCATCTACTGCATAAATTAGGGGATACCTGTACATGTATTATTTTGTATAAGTAGCTTCACTCATCTATGCAATGCTTTTTACAATTATGATTCTGATACATACATTATAGAATAAAAAACATCCCATAATTCTAACAAGACAATAAAATACAAAGCAAAACTAATTATATGTTAAATGTTTATCTTCTCTAAATTAGAGTCCTTACCCAGATATAACAAGTGAGTCGTCAAACACGTAAAGCTTCATGTGTTGAAGGCCGATTGTTTCATTCCAGCGCTGTGGCATTATCCATTTTAGAATGCCACGGAGGTCTGGTGTGTGATACAGTGACACCTGTTGAAACAAGTTTATGATATACGTATACCTTAACCTAAGGATATGGAAAAACCACTTAGAGATGTAAACAAAACAACATAACAAGATGGGCTTAGACATTTCAGCCCTTACCTGGGCCCCCTCACTTAAGAGACCTGCTACATCTGTTTCCACATGGGTTTTCTCCTTTTCCAGTGACTCATTTTCATTATGCTACCAACATTACATGTTAAAATTGGAATATTATTACTGAATGACAGAAAATATTCTTATTGCTCAACATTACAAATCAGAAAATAAAATTCTACTATTGAAAGGAAATTAGTAAATTCAACAGAACCCATTATGTATTAGAGGATGACACCATTAATAAGTGGGGTTTTGGGGGGAAAACCAGAACAAAAAAATATTCACGTTTTATTATTAAAACCAAAAAAAAGTCAAAACCCAAAATGGGCCCTACAGTGGTACTAAAAAAGATTTGTTCGATTTTTAACCCCGGAGGGTTAGCCATCTAGATAACCCAAGAAAGTCAGTGCTCATCAATGACTGTCGTCTTATTTCCATTGGGTCCTTCAATCTTGTCCCCCAGGATGCGACCCACACCAGTCTGACACCCACGTACCTACTTGCTTGCTAGGTGAACAGGACAACAGGTGTAAGGAACATACGAATGTTTCTACCGTGCCGGGATGAACCCCCGACACAATGTATGGGTGCGCGCAACCAGCCACGGCAGTACAAAAATAACGGAGTTTACACGTATTATTAATTACATCAGAACAAGGCTAACCAAAAGGTCATAAGTCTGACTAGTATTTACAGTCCTGTGGCTGGGTTGGTAGTGCACTCAGCTCACACTGAGGTCCGTGGTTCGATCCCCAGTACGAGTGGAAATATTAGGACGTGTTTCCTTAAGACACCTGCTGTCCAATTTCACCTTGCAGTAAGTAGGTACCTGGGTGTTAAGTCACCTTACACCTGCTGTACCTGTTTACCTAGCAGTTAGTAGGTACCTGGGTGTTAGTCACCATACACCTGCTGTCACTGTTCACCTAGCAGTAAGTAGGTACTTGCATGTTAGTCACCTTACACCTGCTGTCACTGTTTACCTAGCAGTAAGTAGGTACCTGCATGTTAGTCACCTATAACCTGCTGTCATGCAGCGTGGTGGTTTGCTTCACCCTAGCAGTAAGTAGGTACCTGCATGTTAGTCACCTTACACCTGCTGTCACTGTTCACCTAGCAGTAAGTAGGTACCTGCATGTTAGTCACCTTACAACTGCTGTCACTGTTCACCTAGCAGTAAGTAGGTACCTGAGTGTTAGTTGACTGGTGCGGGTCGCATCCTGGGGGGACAAAATAGACCTAATTTCCCCGAAATGCTCAGCCTAACCAGGGAACCACAGCTCAAATCCCTTGGATCAAGAGCCCCTCAGCAAGATCAAGGTACCCACCCCCAAGAAAGCAATAATAAGGTGAAAACCCCAATAAAACAGCAAAATAAGAGACTAACATGAGTATAGATGACACCCAGGAGGCAGCAGCAGCAGCCATCACTACAACACCAGTATTATTGTCTTTAATCATCTTAAGTTGGAAAGTAGGTACGTAAGTAACTTAAGTAAAGTAATTAAGTAGGTAAAGTAAAAAATTAAGTAGGTAAAGTAGGTAGGTAGGTATGTAAAATAAGTAGGTAAAGTAGGTAAGTAAAGTAAGTAGGTAAAGGAAGAAGGTAAGTAGGTAGGTAAGTAAAGTAAGTAGGTAAAGTAAGAAGGTAAGTAGGTACGTAATTAAAGGAAGTAGGTAAGCAAGTAGGTAAAGTAAGAAGGTAAGTAGGTAAAGTAAGAAGGTAAGTAGGTAAAGTAAGAAAGGAAGAGAAGTATATAAGCAGATAAATAAATAAGTAAGTAGGTAAGAAAATAAGTAAGTTCATACAGGCACAGGTACACATTAGTACAATTATCATACATAGTATAAATTACCTAACATCCCCCGCCCCCTCGGCCACCCCCCCCCCCCCACCCCCCAAAAAATGCCATATTTCTACGGGGAATTCAAATTCAAATTCAAAGTTTATTCTCTATAAAGATTACAATGTAACTGTATTTATGTGTCCCTGTACCAAAATAAACTTACCTGGGGGTCCGGTGGCCCACAGGATGGGTATGGTGTGCATAATATATTATAGTTATCTGTTTACAATAATGTCTTATCACTGATTTCATCATTGCTTAGTTAATCTTAAGTTAATTTTAAGCCAGCCCGTAATGCTATGCATAGTATAAGTGGCTTTGGCATGCTGCTCTTATCTGTATTTTTTTTTTTTGTACCTCTGTAAGTGTGCTCAAATTATAAATAAATAAATAAATAAATAAATAAGTGGCTTTGGCATGCTGCTCTTACCTGTATTTTTTGTACCTCTGTTTGTATGCTAAAATTTCTAAATAAATAAATAAATAAATAAATAAATAAACTAACCCGTGGCCTGGTAGGTAACGTTCTTGCCTCACACACACTGTTCCTGGATAAATTAAGACACATGTGCAATCTTGGGTATCTTTATTGAGGAAACGTTTCGCCACACAGTGGCTTCATCAGTCCATACAAAGGAGAATCGCGAAGAGCAGGAGGAGAATGAGGTAATCAGTCCCTCAACCTTGAGTCGATGTGGTCAGTCCATCAATCCTGAATAGAATACAGCATATGTGTCGAGAAGTCGCTTATATACCATTATATAGACCACATCGACTCAAGGCTGAGGGACTGATTACCTCATTCTCCTCCTGTTCTTCACGATTCTCCTTTGTATGGAATGATGAAGCCACTGTGTGGCGAAACGTTTCCTCAATAAAGATACCCAAGAGTTGCATATCTGTCTAATTTATCAACGTGTCGGTTCTCTGAACCATTCATCTACAACACTGTTCGTGGTTCGATCCCCGGCAAGGGTTTTAACATTGGGCGTTTCTTACACCTGTTGTCCCGTTCACTTAGCAAGTAAATGGATAAACGGATCACCTATCACAAAGCTAACAGAGGGAAAATTCTTAGGAATCCACCTTGATAATAGACTCAAATTTCATACACATATACAACAAATTTCTAAGAAAATTTCCAAGACCGTAGGCATACTATCAAAGATACGGTACTATGTTCCACAGTCAGCCCTCCTGGCCCTTTATCACTCTCTTATTTACCCCTATCTCACCTATGGAATTTGTGCATGGGGCTCAACAACAATTAACCATCTCAGACCACTAATTACCCAACAAAAGGCTGCAGTTAGAATGATGATAATTTCTCACTACAGGCAGCACACTCCACCAATATTCAAAACACTAAACCTACTCACCATACAAAACATCCATACTTATTATTGCACCTATTACATACATAGAACACTTAACTCTGATATTAACCCTCCCCTCAAACATCTTGCCAACCTCAACAGAACACATGACCATAACACAAGGCACAGATCACTCTTTGATGTTCCTCGTGTCCATCTCACGCTATGCAAAAACTCAATGCACATAAAAGGCCCTAAAATCTGGAATTCATTACCTGTAAATATAAAAGAAACACTACCTGTTTATAAATTCAAGTCTCTTCTCAAAGATCACTTACTTACCCAAAACCAAATAAATACTGAATAACTGAACCTTATAAATTGTATATCTTAAATGTTTCTCACAATTATATCACATAAATGTTAAACCTAAAACCCAATCTAACTTTATTATTTTTTAAATACACTACCTAACAGAATACTCCATTCTACTGAATGTACAACAATGCATACAACCATATGACCTGTCTTTGTAATACTCATTTGTGCTTTATAGTTATCTGTTTACCATAATGTTTTATCACTGATTTCATCATTGCTTAGTTAATCTTAAGTTAATTTTAAGCCAGCCCGTAATGCTATGCATATAAGTGGCTTTGGCATGCTGCTCTTACCTGTATTTTTTTGTACCTCTGTTTGTATGCTAAAATTACTAAATAAATAAATAAATAAATAAAAAGTAGGTACCCGGGTGTTAGTCGACTGGTGTGGGTGGCATCCTGGGCGACAAGATTGTGTGGGGTTATCTTGGGTGGCTAACATACTGATATTAAACGTGTGGAGGTCTGATCCGGGGATGAAGAGAAGTTCCAACTCCTTGGATCAAAAGGCGTTTCGTTTTGAGAGGTCATTTGGTGGCCCGGTGGCCTGATGGCTAAAGCTCCCGCTTCACACACGGAGGGCCCGGGTTCGATCCCCGGCGGGTGGAAACATTTCGACACGTTTCTTTACACCTGTTGTCCTGTTCACCTAGCAGCAAATAGGTACCTGGGTGTTAGTGGACTGGTGTGGGTCGCATCCTGGGGGACAAGATTAAGGACCCCAATGGAAATAAGTTAGACAGTCCTCGATGACGCACTGACTTTCTTGGGTTATCCTGGGTGGCTAACCCTCCGGGGTTAAAAATCCGAACGAAATCTTAACTTATCTTATCTTATCTTATTTGTAACTTTTAATCATTTTAATTTTATGCTCGTATCTTTCGTTTGACACTACTTGCTGAGCTAAATATAAAACACAAAAACCAATAACAACTATGGAAGGAAACAGGTGGAAAATATTAGTTACGAGTGATAGTACTTTAATATGGATGTAATTGATGACGGTGTTGCCCAGGACTGGAGAAATATGTTAGGCAGGAGATGCTTGTATAGTGGTTGTGTTGTTATGGCGGTGAAGTAACTCACTATATTACACCATCAATCATGGCTCGCAGGAAAGATTCCAAACTGGAGAAGCTGCGAGCTGAGGAATATGATCTTGACACCAAATTGCGAGGTATAATATGCTGTGCAACAAGTTGAGAGGAGTTAAAGCAGCAGTGGTGGTGCAGGATCTAAGTTGCAGTCACACGCACTATATAATAATGTTATATATTGTTACTCTTATTAAGACAGTATAAGTGATGTACTTGACATGTATAATATTTCGGCCAGAGGAATAAGTTGCCCATTATCTTTCCTTGAGAATCATTTATGTTTGTGTCTAGAAACTAACATTGCTTGTTAAAAAATCTGAACAAGATCTTGAAATTATCTTACGTGCAAATAATGGGGCTGCAGTTGCCATGACAATTAATATAAACTAGAATGAATGTTAGGTCGAAATGAATGTTCCTTCCCAACCACAGCTATAATCAGTTCCAAGATCATTTCTTTCAGATTAATATTAACTTTGGAGGAGGGAAAGGGGGGGGGAGGTATTCTTCATTGGATAACTCGATGAACTCAGGATATCAGACTTTTATATTTCTATTGGGGTCCTTTAATCGTCTTCACCAGGATACAACCCAGCAGGTTACTGCTGGACAGTAACAATAGATACTCCATAAATGGACTGCAGGAGACAGGCAAAGAAGTGTCAGGTTCAATCATTATAAGTAAATTTGTTATACAGCGCTCCCAAAAACTGGACCTTTATCTTCGAACCACAAAATTGTAAACCAGTGTAATATCAAGGTAAACAGCTTACTGCCAACTAAGAGTAGCATGACTGTCTTGTGGAGGATCTAGCTTCCACACTCCTTGTGCTGAATAATCCCCACAGGTTTATGTTTCACATAATAACGCTGTATGACTCTGGAAATAAAAGGATCCCAATAGAAATGTCACTTTTAGAGGTTACCCTACGTAATTTACACTAAATAAACCTTATTATAATAAATATAATTACATATAATAATAATCTTTATTTCTACAAGTACATGTACAAGGTATACAGGTCTAGCTAACATCAGTGACACTATAGAAAGCCCCTTGTTATGCAGAGCATTTCAAGCAGATTAGGTCAATTTTGGATGTGATAATGGAATACCTAGCTGGAAAATGCAGGGAAGCTGAGGAGACCTTCATACCAAGAAGATGCAGAAACTAAGATAGCCCCTGGTTCAGAGATACAGGGAAGCAAAAAGAAAATTTTAATTGAGTGGAGAAACTACAGTATGAAAAGGACAAATGAGAACAGACATAAGATTGGCCAGAAATAAATATGCTAGGGTGAGAGAAGCCGAGAGACAATATGAGAATGATTTAGCAGCCAAGGCCAAGTCTGAACCTCTGTTTATTTATTTATTTATTTATTTATTTATTTATTTATTTAGTAATTTTAGCATACATACAGAGGTACAAAAAAATACAGGTAAGAGCAGCATGCCAAAGCCACTTATATGCATAGCATTATGGGCTGGCTTAAAATTAACTTAAGATTAACTAAGCAATGATGAAATCAGTGATAAAACATTATGGTAAACAGATAACTATAAAGCACAAATGAATATTACAAAGACAGGTCATATGGTTGCATGCATTGCTGTACATTCAGTAGAATGGAGTATTCTGTTAGGTAGTGCATTTAAAAAAATAACAAAGTTAGATTGGGTCCTAGGTTTAACATTTGTGTGATATAATTGTGAGTAACATATAGGATATACAATTTATAAGGTTCAGTTATTCAGTATTTATTTGGTTTTGGGTGAGTAAGTGATCTTTGAGAAGAGACTTGAATTTATAAACAGGTAGTGTTTCTTTTATATTTACAGGTAATGAATTCCAGATTTTAGGGCCTTTTATGTGCATTGAGTTTTTGCATAGCGTGAGATGGACATGAGGAACATCAGAGTGATCTGTGCCTTGTGTTATGGTCATGTGTTCTGTTGAGGTTGGCAAGGAGATGTTTGAGGGGAGGGTTAATATCAGAGTTAAGTTTTTCTATTATGTAATAGGTGCAGTAATGAGTATGGATGTTTTGTATGGTGAGTAGCTTGAGTGTTTTGAACATTGGTGGAGTGTGCTGCCTGTAGTGAAAATTTTGTTATCTTCTAACTGCAGCCTTTTGTTGGGTAATTAGTGGTCTGAGATGGTTAATTGTTGTTGAGCCCCATGCACAAATTCCATAGGTGAGATAGGGGTAAATAAGAGAGTGATAAAGGGCCAGGAGGGCTGACTGTGGAACATAGTACCGTATTTTTTGATAGTATGCCTACGGTCTTGGAAATTTTCTTAGAAATTTGTTGTATATGTGTAT